ATCTATGTCGTTTATGTATATAATAAATAATAATGGTCCAAGTACTGAGCCTTGGGGAACTCCACTAGTGACGTTGCTCCAATGGGATTTAGTGCCATTAATGCTCACTCTCTCTTTCCTGTCCTGTAACCACGCCGTAATCCATTTAAGGATATTATCTTTGATGCCATGTGCTTCTACCTTTCTAATAAGTCTTTCGTGGGGGACTCTGTCGAAGGCTTTACTAAAGTCATGATATACCGCATCATAATTGTGCCCCTCGTCCACCGATTCAAAAACTGATGAAAAGAATGTTAAAAGATTAGTTAGACATGAAGGCCCGCTTGTGAAGCCATGCTGGGAATCATTGATCAATTGGTGCTTCTCCAGGTGATTTCGAATAGAGTTTGAAATGATTGCTTCCAGTAATTTGCCTACTATTGATGTTAGACTGATTGGGCGGTAGTTTGAGGATAGTGATCTTTCCCCCTTCTTGAAAATCGGTATTACATTCGCTATCCTCCAGAATTCTGGTACTACACCTGTTTTTAAGGGCATGTTAAACAACTTTGCTAAGGGCATGCTAAGCTCTTCCTTACATTCCTTTAATACTCTGGCAAATATCTCATCGGGACCAGGTGAATTATTAGGCATTAGTTTGTCTATTTGCTTACTAACATCGTTACTAGTCACTACTATCTCGCTTAATTTGTTTTCTTCACTCTCTCTGAATAGAGTCAGTGCCTCGGGTATCATGTTTAAATTTTCGGTGGTGAAAACTGTTGAAAAATATTTATTCAGATTATTGCTCATTTCTCTATGATGTGTATCACGTCATTATGCGCGAGAGGGTTAAGACTTAAAAAGTTATTACAGTTACATATACTGTACTGTACATTCAGCAGTGGACAGTGTACGGGTATGCCTACTGTAGGCTCAAGTCGACAGCACCTGCTGGTGAGTACAGTACAGTATATACTGTACAGTAGTAGTACAGATATACCCCATAAACCAAGGTCCCCTTGACTAGAGCTTTGCATAACCACCAATTATATATTAGGGAAATAGCCCACACCTTTTACTGACTACCCCATTGATCCGACAATTGGAGGAGCAGCAGCAGCAGAGTGCTTTTGAGTTTGGCGCACATTGTTTTTTGCTTACCTCATGGTCTCTGACTTTGTGAGTTAAGTGTGCCTAAACTCCTCAGCAATACTGCCTCTTCTGTTTAACCCATGAATGATGACTAGCATTTTAAGTAGAGTATATATTGTCTTTAATGGGAATAGTGGGGTCTAATCACATTTGATATAGGACTAAGGAGAGCCAATAGGTTTGAGATGAAGCTTGATGTGTGGGACTGGCCATTGCCATGATGAGAAGTTTTCATTTTATTTACTCATTATTATACAGTATTCTCGTATGATCAGCCTATTATGGTGTATGCTTCAACATAAATAATATAATATACAGCATTAAATATATAATAGAACAAAATACCATACAGTAGATGCGGCACCCCGCATATTATGGGTTATTCGCGCCAAAATTTGAAACCGAGAAAACCGTGTTTAAAGTTTTTCCAGCGTCAAACATGCATAACTTTGTTGTTTTTTGAGATACGGCATTAATTTTTTTATAAATTTTGAAGCTAAAGGACTGTACTCACAGATGATAAGTAGCATGTCATGAAGTAATGTACTGGGTTGTTGCAATGTTGACTTGAAGCAGCAAAACTTCCACCAGCTTATGGCTTTTTTTACTTTAATTGATATCAGTGTAGATCCTGCCCGCTGGAGGGGCTGTGACATAGATAGCAGACGTTCACTGTCATTGGCCGAGACGGGGGAGGAGGCTGTAAGCTGGCCGCTGTGATTGGCTGCCCGCTCCTCTCACTTACAGGATGAGAGCACCTTACAAAGCGAAAACCAAGCCTATAATTTCCTGTCTACCACAAATCGATGTTTTACCCTATTTTCAAAGGGCTTTCAACCTTATTTACAGTGTAGTAAGTGGATCTTATCAACTACCATCGTATAGAGCTAGACCAAAAATAATGCTTTCGCCTGGATGGTCTGAAAGCACCTTACGATGCGGGACGCTTCATATAATATGACTTCAAAATAAGACAAACTGAATCACAATGAAACTCTCTTCCTTGACCACTCACTCCTTCCCTCTGTAAAGGAGTAAGGAGGGAGACTGGCCGTGCCACATTTATCAATTTGTTGTTAGTTATACATTCCTATATCTTTGTATGATCAGCCTTAAATGGTGTATGTTTCTTTATAAATAATAAATTATATTAAATAATAATAAAAACAATAGAGGTACAATATACAATTTGTAATTTGATTTCAAAATAAAAGAACAAACTGTACGAGAAGGTAACCTTTTCCCTGACCACTATTCTCTACTCACCGACTGCCATCAAGGCCAGCTTTTGACCTGAATATTATTGATTCATTATTACTATATTCTACTATGAACAGCCTCTGATAGTGTACAATTCATCATAAATAATATAAAGTCCTCAATAACAGAAAATATATAATACTATATACCCCTGTATAATTTGTATTTTGACTTGAGAATAAAAGGATACATTGTATCGAAGATGACGTCTCATTTTCTTCTCTCCCTCCTCCCTCCTACAGCATAGTATCCAAACAAAAAATAATTCTTTTGAGAGAAGCCAATTACAGTATTATGTCTGCAGTTGGCTGTATTTATCCAGTAACCGTATAGAACAGGTTTATAAGCATGGGATATCAACACAATGAGGGTGAAAATGAAAAAATTCAAAGAACACCCTCACTATGTTGATGTCCCATGCCTATAAACCTGTTCTATATCGTTACAGGAGAAATACAGCCAACTGCAGACATAATAAATGGCTTCTCTCATAATGATTTTTTTTGATAGGTTAAGAAAACATATGTAGTTTTATTTTAATATTAAAGTCATATCAGATGACATTTTCACTTTTTATCCTGAGCAAGCAAGTGAGGTGCTCTCTTATATCTCCAGTTAGTTATGGGTAAAATTCATTGTACCAATCATTATGAAACAATCTCTGTTGAGCAGTAAAGATTGAGGAATAATGCCTCAAAGCACATCATTATGGTTCTGGGGTGTTTCAAGGTGGAGTAAATTATTTGAGCTTCAAACCCCTCACTGTGATAATCCACTGACCATCAGAGGCAACCACTATGCCAATGGCTGCCTTTGAAGTCTCTTGATGAAACTGTATAAGAAAAAAGTTCTACAGGAATTGTTATTTGCGTGAATAATTTCCCCCTCCCCCCAGTGAATTATCATATCTTACGACACAAGCAGTACTGTAGAAGGATGATCAGAAGGCTGTTAGATTCAAGAGGTCACTTACCAAGGTCCAGGAACTCTTAAAACAATATAACAGTACTTGATTGGGGTACTTTCCACTTTCAGCTTCATTTATTAAAAAAACGACCAGGTAAGTAATAAAAGTGCATATTGTGCAACAAGCTCAGTCTCCCTACTCTTCACAGTCTTCTTCTTGAACTTGAATATCAGAAGTATGCTGGCATTTGCTCAATCTTTTTTTCTTTAATCACTGTTAGAAAGGCTTTTGAAATTCTTTAGATGTGTGGTTGGCCTTCACCTGTACCTCTACTACAACACCAAATGTGGTTTCCTTCCTATACAGAGACAGAGGAATTCATATGGCTAAGTCCCTCAGTTTGCATGTAACCTGACAGCCTGGTAGTTTTCCCCTTTCTTCTACTTTTTAAATTATCAAAGCAATGTTTAATAAAATGATTACAGATAACCAGCATTCATGTTATTTACATCCCACTGTCAAGCTGAAGATCTGTGCTTGCCTGTCTGCTGTCTGGGTAATATACAACATGTACCTGACAGTTCATGAAATATTAAGAGATGCAATTTTTTCCACACTAAGGCACTTCTAAATACTTAGCAAGTACTATGCCATAATTATATTCAAACATGTCACTAACATATAGAGAAATTCTGAACCTACATTTTCAATAGCTACCCTGTAGTAAATTACAAGCTATATTACCTGATAAGAAGAGAAATGTGCAAATTATTTTTCAATTCATTTAGTGTCATGATGCAGTGTGACTTGAACCTATACAGCACACTCCTTAAAAATTAGAGACAGTATACCTAATGGTTAATTCTAAATACATATCATAGAAAATACAGTCTATAGTACAAATATAATTCAAAGTGCTTAATAAGAGATTAGTGATACATGGTAACCTACAGTATGTGTGATGCAGGTAGGTGATCTATCTATAAAAACCTGTAACAGTGGACCTAGTTGGGAGGGGGGGGGGATCTCCCTCCCCCCCACAATTTCATGTACAACCAATCCTTCTTGGAAACTACCAAATCCATGAAATCTTAACTGGAGATATTTCAAAATAATAACATGCTTCCTCTTACTCATTTTTCAATCAATTTGACCATAACTAATATTACTATTATTTTCCACCTCTTATGTTTAATTACCAATATTTTTTGTTTATGGAGTTTTATGAAACCATTCAATACATTTTTCATGCTTAAGATGACTACCTATGCAATACAGTATTTTATATTCTACATGCAAGCAAACCACGATAAAATAAAAATTAGACGTAGAAATTTACAGTGAACCAATTATTTACTTGCTGGAGTTTCAAGTGTTGAGGCACTGTACACATTTTGCTATTATACTATGCACAGTGTATTCTTTCTTATGGGTGGCAATACTATAGAACTTCACTTGCCTTATACGCTGACCCAAATAGTATACACCTACAGTTTCTTTTCATGGAGGCAATAGAAAAACATGCATGTTAATGAGAACTAACCCACAGGATTCTCTTAAAACTTATACCTTATTTAATATTAAAAAATTAAAGCATCAATATCTATACAGTACTATAATTTAGCTGTGGGTACTCATCAGTGCCATCCCATCCACATGCATCCAATATTAGTTACAGAAAATAAGTACAGATACGTACGACAGCTAGGGAGGCCATGTCCCTTACCACCGGGGCATCCCCCTCCAGAGACGACACATTGTGGAGTGAATTCAGTGAATCAGAAGGAGAATGTGGCATTGGTTGCATAGAAGTACGACGACGCCGTGCATAACTACAGTTGTTAGGAATCTTGTAGGCACATCGTTTGTGAAAATTAAGACCACATCCTGTAATGTCATATAAATTCCCATGTAAGAGAAATCACTAAACACAATTCCCAATTAATTACATAATTAAAGATAAGGCTAGCTTATGTACTCACTTGTTTCATAATTACTGATATGAAACTGGGGAAAACTTAATACTGTACACTATTGGTACTGTACAATTTAAAACCCAAAATTCATGAGTTGAATGTAAATGTAATACCACAGTAATACCTGTACAGTAGTCACTAGACTAAACAAATTTGCAGTGCAATTACAGAACATAATATTTATGGTTTACAGTTTATAGTAATGAATGCATAACTCTTTCAGAGTGCAGAAAAGGAATACGGAACATTCTTTATTAAAATGTGTTTATAAGGTAGAAAAGTAACATCACTTAGGTCTAGGATGTGCTGCTAAAAACAGCAGCAGGGCACCACACTGATTTACTGTATTAATGTCTTCTAATGATATTCATTAAAGTCTCACAAACTTCAGATAACTAAATGGATTCTAGTTTTCAAGTTCAGGACATTCTTCTAAATTCTCAAAGAAAACAAAAACATAATTAAACAACTTTCTAGTGCATTCATTGTCTTCAACACCCAATGTTATATTGAGTGTTTGTGTCTATTTGCATATACTATACCTGTATTTTATTGTGAGTAGGCATGCATGAGTGGAAAATACATATAAAACTGCTCTGTTTCTTCTATTTAAGCTCTGAGTGTAGTACAAAGTGATTACTCTTTACCGCTCTCTATTGCTTATGACGTTTTCCGTAAGTTAAAAGGCAAACAAATTAAAATATCTTTCACAATCAAAGATACATACCTTCACATTTGAGCCCTTGTCTGACCAACCCCCAGAGCATTTCACCACAGAAATCACAAAATGTGGGAGTCTTATATGAATGAACATATAACATGTGTGGCCGAATCTGCACTTCATCTGATGGGTTGTGAGCTGTAAATAAATAAAAAATAAACAAATAAATAAAATTGCATCATAATTTTCTAACATAAATACAGTACAGTATTATACTGTTTTTAAGAATGGGTATGTGTAACTTTGATGCTGTTAGACTTCATTACAGTAAATCAATTGAATATGTACAGAGAAGGTGATTGAAAGGCAAAGAAGACACAGTTGTCTGTATCTCCAATCAAATACAGCAATACTAAGACAAGAGTACAGTACTGTACTGTATCCCGAAAAGCAAAAGGTGCCTCGCTAATATAAGAATATTTTGAATACAGTATACTGTACTGTACCACAGTTTCATGAACATGAGTTATGTTTCACAAATGAAACTCAGACAAAAAGATGTACAGTATCTAAAGAGTGGTAAATTCAAATTAATTATGCTTAAGATGGAAGAACTGGATGGTGATAATTAAAAACAATAGGCTCTCATTTATCCTGCACCATTGGGACTTCGGTCAAGTTGGATAAATTATATTTATATATTTTTACCCCCTTAAAGTACAGTAAGGTCCCAATTAAAAGTGTTCATGAGGTGAATTTTCACTAAACTGGACCCATTTCCCTATAGGATCATCATCACCGACATTTTGCAGCCATTTTCCACACTTGTGTAGGTTAAACAGTTCCCATGTAAAAAAGCTGAGATGCATTCCAGCTTAAAAGTTTTCAATCCCAAATCCTATTTTCCAGAAATTTGGATCCCAGAACCTAATCTAACAATATGAAATTTGAATATCGATGTGATAGTGGAAACTGTAAAATCAAAAAATATGCAACCTGTAGGTTGGTCATGCAGTTTGGTGGCATGTAAGTACAGTAATGCCATAAGTGTGATAAGTGCACTGCTTTGGTTACCTATGCCTTCCATGTGAAATGTGAACTGCCACTACTGGTTGCATCCATGAGCCCTATTGTATTGGTAAAAGAACCATAATAGGATATTGGGAATGTGCCATTGTTTCAGCCGAGTGTTGTACCTAATAAATAAGAATTTATTGTACTGTACTGAAATAAATGAACAGAGGGCATATTCAATGGAAGAGTACTGTACTAGGATGAGGGAACTAAATTAAAAACTCTTTACACATAGCAAGTCCTGTGCAGCCACTACTAAAATATAAAAAGAAAATTTTTTCTACGGTACAAGTACAGTATATGGACTGAGTACATGGCTCCACATTTTCAAAGGTGTGGAAGGTACATTTCCCACTTGGATATCCTGTATAAAACCTTGTCTAACTGACACTTTTAAGTTACAAAACAAGAATAATAGCAAAAAATTACATTGAAATTGTAGATTCTACTGCACACTATCTACATTACAGGAAGGTTCTCAAGAATCAAGTTGCCTACCGAGTTACAGATTCTGTGAGCCACAATGTAACATAGTGTAGTGAAGGCAAAGTGCAATCCTTCCAAGTGCAAGTGAAATGCAAGAAAAGTGTTCAAAACACACTGCTTAATTTCAGCAACATTTTTCAAAAGTCTTTGCACTACTTTTTCCTTACTATAGCCCCACATACTGTTACCACAGGTTGTCAAGTCTGGGCTTCTAGGAGGCTGCTGCATCCAAGGAGATCTTCCAATCCAGAAATTAAGAAATATTTGGTTAAGGAAGTTGCCATCTCCCTATTAGATGGAATTATCATCTCTCCAGCATTTCCATGTGACTGTTGATTAAATGACCTCTCAAAAAAAGTGTGAGCCAATTAGATGAAATAGCAGCCCATAACATAACATGGGGAAAATGATCAAGGGATTCCTTAAAATAATGGGGATTTGCATTACTCCAAAAATACACATCATATCTGCATGATAATAGTACATATTAATGTCAAATATGTATGTACCGTAAACAATCATAATGAAGGTAACAAACATGATGTAAAACAGAAGTGATCAACCCACTGTCTGAGGGCCGCACAGGGTGACTTAATGTGACCCTCGGCAAATACTGTAGTAGAAACATACCTGTACTTAATATTTTATAGAAATTAAATACAGTAAAAACAAATACTGTAATATTATGATACAATAATAAGTATCACACATCTGGCATGTATGACTAATGATTAAGTGAGTGGATGACCCTTAGGAAGCTACAAGGTACTACAGTATAGTCTGGATTTACGCGGATATTTTATACGTGTTTGGTCGTTTACGCGGCACCTGTCCAGATGCGCCAATTATTAGTTACGCGGTACATTCCTTAATTTATGCGGCAAGCGGCGCGGGCAAGCTGCGCGCAAGGTCCTGGGCGCTGACGTCAGACTCGTGCCGATAACGTTTTGGACTGTGATTGGGCCACGCATCCTTACCACCCACGTATTCCCTTGGCCGCGAGCTGTGATTGGTCTATTTAACTTTGTGTGCCCTGCCACCAGAGGAGATAAGTCTCTGACCTTGGCTACGCCAGTCCCATTGTCCTACGTCTCCGCGTAAACAGTGCTCCCTCGTGTCAGTTTTTTTTGTTCAACAATGGCTTCAGCTGGACCCCCACCACCCCCGAGAAACCTTGAACTACCTGGCCCAAGCCGCACCAAGCCCAAGAAGACGCGACGCGCCTTAAGCTATGAAGTTAAGTACAAGATCGTTCAAGAGTTAGAAAAAGGCATGAGGCAGGTTGATCTTGCCAGACAATATGGAGTGAACGAATCGATGATCCGCACCTACAAAGTCTGTAGGTGCCTCGATGGTGAAATATTGCCACAATAAGGTGCTGCTGAAGACTGAGGGTTTATTGGTAAGCTACTTGATTCGTCAGTCAAGAAGGAACATGGCAGTCGACACTAGGGCAGTGCAGGACTACGCCCGAGAACTCTACCAATCAGTGGCAAGAAAAATGGGAGTTGCAGAGCCCAAGCCCTTCACTGCTTCCGCTGGGTGGCTTCAAGGTCTCAAAAGATGAAACAAGATCACCAATATTGAGATAGTCGGAGAAGGAGCAAGTGCCGACCGGGCTGCCGCCAGGAATTTTCCCCCATTTTTATGAGAAATTATGGAGGAAGGACAGTACACCGATGACCAAGTGTTCAATATGGATGAATCCGGGTTGTTTTGGAAAAAATTGCCATCCAAAACCTTCGTAGTCAAGTCTGCGAGCAAGTGTCGGGGCCAAAAAATGCAGAAGGAGCGCATCACCGTCCTGTTCACCACCAATGCCTCCGGCACTTGTAAGCTGAAGTTGTCGGTGATCTATAAAGCCCACAAACCGCATGCATACAAGAATATGGACATGAGCAAGTTAAATGTCCACTGGCTAACCTCAGGGAAGGCGTGGATGTTCACTGCTCTGTCCCTCTCCTGGTTTGACAACTGTTTCGTGAAAAAATTCTGCGAGCAAAAAAAATGTTCTATTTAACATTTTGTTGCTCCTTGACAACGCACCAGGACACTCGCCCCTATTGCTTGATCATCACCCCAACGTAAAAGTGGTCTTCCTTCCCCCTAACACTATGTCGTTAATCCAGCCCATGGATCAGGAGTTGATTTGCAATGTGAAGGCTGCTTTCTCCGCAAAGAAGTTTCAGCTCCTGAATGACTTCACCAACACCAAGGATGAATTGCAGAACATCCCGAGTGGCACCGATAGCAAGAGCAAGGACGAGGATCTAGAACAAGATTTGGCGGACCATGAAGTGCGAGTCAAGCAGTTCTGGAAACTGTTTAACGTGAAGAAAGCTGTTGATTTCTTGGTGGAGGCATGGGAGCAGCTATCTGTGGCAACGATTCATCACGCGTGGCGGTATGTGTTGGAGGGTATCCCAGGCGGGAGGCAGAGCCAAGCTGTGGCTGGTGAGGCTCAGTCTGTTGCTGTGACATTGGACATTCCAAGAGAGGCTACACAAAGTGTTAGAGCTGCTGCAGACTTTTCCGAGACCACCAATGACGACATCCTGGAGGTAATCAGGCAACCTGAGGTGACTGCGGACAAGGTGTTGGAAGATGATGACGTCAGTGAGCAGCCAGGTGTTACAGCGGAAGAACAAGAGCAGAAACTAACACATGCAGATGTCAAAGAGGTCATCGAGTTTGCTGAGAAAATGAAGCTCATCCTTGCCAAAGACCCAGTCAATCATCGCTATGAAGTGTCTAATGACCTTCTGTTGAAATGCATGGAGCCCTATGTTCAGATGTATCACGACATCATCAATGCTAACCGTCAACAAAACATTACCGAGTTCTTCACCCGCATCCCACCACAGCCAGCCCAAGTCAGTGACAGTGACGATATGGACTTTGAGGGGTTTGACAAGGATGCCCCACTAGCCTCTGTGGTGGATAGTGATACAGGTGATACAGGTGAGGGCCAATAATCTGCCCTCTGCCTCATAACCAACCCCCCATCCCCATGTGTCCAGCCATCTCTTCTCCAAACGTAAGTGTTAAAAAACCTAATATTATTGATATTTCTCTTAAATATTAATTGTATGCATACCATCATAAAATTAAGATGTTATTTTTACTACAACGTACATATTGTGTCGGAAAAAGGTTAGTCTGGGGATCGGCCCAGTCTCTATTTTAATTAATCCCATATGTTGTTATTTTGTTTACGTGTTTCGCGTCATACACAGACCTCCATGGGTTTAATTGACTGCGTAAACCCAGACTATACTGCACTTGATTTATTTTAACTATACTGTATAACAAAATTATGAATGTTTTTGTAGTAAAGCAAGAAATTTCTGTAAGAGGTATTCTAATTATGGTTCCTTCTTTAAGTTTACAATACAGTACTTGGTTAATAATTAATAAATAATCATTGTTATTAATGTGCATATTATTTACTGCACTTATTCACATTAAAGTCAATGTGCAGCCATCATCACACAGTTACCAATCTAATGTGTACCACTCACAGAATAAGGTTGAGCACCACTGTACTGTATAATATAATCCCTGCAGTGAGTGATAAACAACACTGTATAACAAAAGGGGATGACAGAAACAACCCACACACTGTAACCCTAAAACAGTACAGTAATGGAACTTGGCAGCCTTAATGTCAAACAACAAATTTTGAACTGACCTGACATGACGATCTCGACCAAGGTGTCCTGAGTTACTTCGGAAGCTGCGTTGATGATCTGAAGGATGTTTGGCGAGTCGTAGTCGTGTCGAAAGAGAATGAGTCGCTCGTTGAGCTTGTTAAGGCTGTGGTCTGGGAACTGTAACACATAATAACAGTAGATGTAATAACAACCTCTTACAGCCTCTCCACACATTAACCATAATTATTTATTAATATATTGAACATAAGTAATACCCACAACAAAATAACATACACTCATACAGACAACAAGAACACTTCTCTATACACATGCAAGGTACATGTACAAACTAACACTTCCATACACAAACAAATAAAAACCAGTATTTCCATATACAAACCAATACTGTAGAGTATTTCTATACACAACCATAAACACAGACACTCCTATGCATTCATAGTCACACACTTTTGAGGACTGTTTTGTACATATAGAGTACTGTATACTGCCACACAAAAATATAGAGAAACACAAGTGTCCATATATAAACAAATTTCTAACACCCATGTTTATGGGGAAAAATACCACCAATGGAATTGTGGCATAAACAGTCATAATGTTTGATAAGATTAATGCAAATATTTTCGAGATATGCTTCATTATTGGTGATGGTGTGGAAATACATTGCGCACACACACACACAGTACTACAAGTCTACAACGTACGCACGCACACACACGCACAGTACTACAAGTCTACAACGTACGCACGCACACACACAGCATCACTACAACACACACACACACAGTACTACAAGTGCAAAAGAGGGCATGCAAGATTATTCTCTCCCCTTCCTACTCCACATATCAAGAAGCGCTCAACACACTGACCCTCTCGACTCTCACTGACCATCACCACGACCTCATCTGCAAATTTGGTAAGAAGCTTCTACACCATCCTCGACACCGGCTCCTACTACCACCTGAGATCCCTAGCCCGAGAATTGCTGTTCGACACCACAACCGCATCCAGCCCATACATGCACGAACTGATCGCTATAAGAACAGCCCAGTCCCAACCATTGTAAAAATTATCAATAACTTGTAATAGACCAGTGTATTCACTCCCAGTAAACACTACTCCTTGCACTGTCACTAGGTTGAAATGCACTGTAGTTTGAGCTTTTCCCCATCTAGTTATTATATATCTTATTTATATCACTTATGTTACTTGTATATTATTTGTAATTCGAAACCCATTCCCCAAATATGTAACTGTATATTTTCAGCCTTCTGGCTGCCAAGTTCTTTCAATAAACCGTTAATTATTATTATTATTATTATTACAAGTCTACAATGTATGCTCGCATGCATGCGCACACACACAGCATCACTACAACACACACACACACACACACTAAAATATTCAACAGCAGTGACTACAGTACAATACTTGTAATGGTCGTAATATCCTGGTTAAAACCCTGTATTCAGTACTGTACTACAGTTCACTACCGACGACTCTCTCCTCCTCCACTGGCCTAATGCTCCTGCCAACTCATCATATTAATCCTGTAATCAACTCGAGTTGTGAATGCATTAGTTTAACCTTGTGAAGTGCACGCACTTCTTTACACTCATAACACCAGCAGCATAATCCCATTATCATTCTGTAAAGATGCATCACTTTCTACCTTGTCCTCGAGGGGGGTGTACGTGGTATTACAATGACCTTGTGTGTGTGTGTGTGTGTGTGTGTGTGTGTGTGTGTGTGTGTGTGTGTGTGTGTGTGTGTGTGTGTAATAATAATAATAATAATAATTAACGGTTATTGAAAAAGTTCTGCAGCCCGAAGGCTGAAAATATACATTGGACATAAATGACTTATTACATACATTGGTGGTTTAACAAAAGCCTTCATTAGAGAAAGGTAAAGGAACATACAGTGAACATACAGATTAATGTAGGTGTTGAACAGCAAACACGTAGTGTAGTAACTACCTCCCAGATGGTGTTAGGAGGGACCTCACGTGGTGTAGTAGTTCCCTCACAGATGGTGTTATGAGGGACCTGACGTGGTGTAGTAATTCCCTCACAGACGGTGTTATGAGGGACCACATGGTGTAGTAATTACCTCACAGATGGTGTTATGAGGGGCCTCACGTGGTGTACTAATTCCCTCACAGATGGTGTTATGAGGGGCCTCACGTGGTGTAGTAACTCCCTCATAGATGGTGTTATGAGGGACCTGACGTGGTGTAGTAATTCCCTCACAGATGGTGTTATGAGGTACCTCATGTGGTGTAGTAATTCCCTCACAGATGGTGTTATATGAGTGAGGTGTGGTCCCAGGCGTTCCTATCGTAGACGGATTAACACATCGCTGGTTGTTGTTGGGTCTCACGGGCCGTGATCACTGGGTACCTGGGACCTCACTGTGTGAAGGTTAACTTGGGTACGACTGTTACTGTTGAGTTGTTCTCACTGACTTAAGCACTGTTCACCACTGTTCACCTCTGTTTAACACTAGTTCCATTCCTTTCCTAAATGAAATTGTAACTTCTGGCAAGAACTTGTTGATATTCCGGTTGGGAGGAGGGTTCAGGGGAGGGAGTTGGCATGGGCCAACTTAACAGTTGACCTGGCTGCTCCGAGAGGAGAACCAGGTACGTCTTGACCCTTCGGTGGTCAAGGATGTGTGTGTGTGTGTACAATGTATTTCCACACCATCGCCAATAATGAACCTTATCTAAAAAATATTTGCATTAATCTTATCAAACATTATGGAAGAACTACAGTACATTGGGTATACAGTAAGTACTGAACTTTTGGGGAGGTCAAAACTGTAGAAACTGACGTAATAGTGGAGCGGCATAGCAACAATTTTCATAACAATTGTGCATTTAATGATGAAAGCACCAAATTTGGCACAGCGATGGAGTAATGGTATATGAACATTTTCAGATATGGAACCACTCGATGCTGGATTTGAGTGGCCGCTATAAATCAGGGGCGGATCCAGGAAAAAAATCCAGGTTTCACCACGTTACTGTATTAGTCCTGTGAGACCGTCTAATACTGCGAAGCATAGGGAAATAATAGGCTATAGGAAGAAAGAAAAGGGGGTTCAGAGGTATTCGATTAACCCATAATACATCAACTGGCGGCCGCCCAAAATATATTTTTTACTTAATGTGCTATTGTGACATAATAATTAATGTGCTATTGTGCTATATAATTAATGTGTTCAATGTGCTATTGTGACATAATAATTGTAATTAGTTCATTTCTATTGTTTCAGGTGCATTGAGTTTATGAACAACTGTGTGCTTCAAGCCAGTCAACTTCGCGGCAACAGTCATGCCAAAGGAGTTCAAGCTCGTTGATGTTAGCAGTCTAGACACCCCAAGAACCCCAGCATCAGTCAACTGGGAACTCTGTGTGATATGTCAAGAAAGGAAATCAGAGCCAATAATATGCCTGGCTGCATTGAAAGGCATGATGGTGGGGCAAGATACAAATCACTTGCTGACAATTTATTGGCGTTCAATGAACTGGGAGAAGTTGTAGGTGTGAATATTGAAGGTCTTGATGAAGGTGAAGGCATCGAACGTACGCTGACTACACGCCAAGCGAAATGGCATAAATTCTGTCGAGTTAGATACGACAACTTGAAGCTGCAACGCGCTCAGAAGAGAAAGGAGTCTTCAGGCCAGGAGGCTGGTTCAGGCACTTCAGCAAGCTCAACAAAGCATACCAGATCTAACACCACATGTGTAGACAGCATGAGAAATGCACTGTGCTTTTTTCTTTCACCAGGATCTTGGACAACAGTATCACCAGGTACAGACTCTTGCTGGCCCAACTGAGTGAAGGCGACATGGTGGCCAGGGAAGCCAAGTATCACAAAAGATGTCTGACATTCCTATACAACAGAGCCAGAGCTGTATCAGAAACTGAAAAACGGGAGACAACCTATGAGACGGTTATGTCATCAGTGGTGTTAGCTGAGTTAGTTTCATACATCAAAGGCACCTTTGATGATAAAATCTGTGCACCTGATTTCAAGTTGTCAGACTTGGTCAAGCTCTATACTCAGAGAATGGAAGGACATGGCATAAAGCTGAACCAACGAGTCCACAGCACCTGACTAAAGGAATGCACATTAGCCCAGTTCCCAAATATGCAGGAACATAACAAGGGACGTGACATTCTCCTGGCCTTCGAAGATGACATAGGAGACGCTCTAGCAAAGGCATGTGAATATGATCACAACAATGATGCTGTACATCTGCTACGAGCTGCACAAATTGTGAGAAGGGATATGTTCACAGAAGGGCAAGGATTCAACGAATCCTTTTCTGAAAAATGCCAAGAGAACAGTGTCTCAACCCTCCTCATGACACTGGTTTCAATGATTCTTGAAGGACCTAGCATCGACTCGCCACAACAACGTTCTGCAGCATCCTTAACCATAGTTCAGCTGCTCAAATACAACAGCGTCAAGCATATTAGGAAAGAACCACATGGTGTTGCCAATGTTAGGCACAGAGTCAAGCAAGAAACGCCGTTACCGATATATGTCGGTATGGTAATTCACGCTCACACCAGAAAAAGAGAGTTGGTAGACACCATGGCTGGTTTAGGTATGAGCATCTCGTATGACTGAGTTCTCAGAATCTCTGCAGAAATGGGCAATAGTGTCTGTGAACGATTTCGACAGAAGGTGGTCTGCCCACCAAACCTCCTATGAAGGAGTTTTCACTACAGATGTTGTAGATAACAATGATCACAATCCAGCTCCACCAGAGCTCAAGATTCCTTCCATGGGACACTCTGAAGTGTCAAAGTCATGCTAAGAGCTCATCTCTTGCGGTTGCAGAAAACACTGCGGTGGCAAGTGTAGGTGCAAAAAAGCTGCACTTAAATGCACTGGACTTTGTGCATGTGAAGGTAGCTGTTAAGGCCAAATATCTACAGAGATTCGACCTCAATAGCCGAATGTTCAGAAAAAAAAATAAGTTTTGGGAGTTTGGAAAATATGTATGTTAATTTTCCAGTGTAATGCTTTTACTTGTCTTTTTCATTGTAATAAACTTCGAAAACTATCACAAATGATTTTTGTAACCAGGATTATGTATATTGATGCATTGGAATGAAATATGCAACCGTAAAAAC